TACGTTTTTGCATTTTTTGTCATAAGAGCTGGATACTTCGATGAAAATGTAATGAAACGCAGGAAAGTGTATTATGTTTTGAACTATAGATCTGAAGTCCCTCTATCTAAATCACAGATCATAATCGAAACTTCATGTGTATTGTATGTTACTTTCATGCATTCTTTTCTATATTTTTCAAAGATGATCGGATTTAAAAGAATTTCGTCTGACACATTATAGGAGAAAAAGACGTCCTAACTCCTCCTCTTTCGATTGGTGAAAACCGCAGATCTCTAGCTGTTTCCGTTCTCGAGTTATTCAAAAAACAGTCACACGCACGGACTTTTTGAACGGACTATAGTTATTAGATGCATAGAACTTAAAAGTACATAAAATTCATTGAAAATAAATTACTACAAATATATGCAAGAAGGTTCTGTAATCTATACTGTTCAGGAGTATTTGATAGTGTCCTGCAAGTGAATCATGTGCCCGGGTATGATATTATACGTGAATTCCACCCGACAATTAATTAGGTTTCGACATTTCAAAATATTTTTACTTTTTCAAACTGCTAATTTATATAAAAGCATAGAAGTGAAAATCTGAACAATTTATTGTACTTGAGTATAGATCATAGAAGTGGAAACACGAGATTGTTTTACTAGAAGAATTCATTTTCAATATAAATTCATCTACAGATGAATATGTATTATTATGATTGAAAAAGTATCCACAATTATGACGTTTGGAACCAACATTGCATTTCATTCCAACGTCATCAACAACAAGCAAATGTATACTTAGCGAAATTAATTGGATTTTTTGGAAGCAGAAAGACACCAAGTGAACCCTAAATCATTTGCTTTTTTGTGGAATTTGAGAGGAGGGTTGTTACTGTTTATGAAAGAAACTAAATAGTATATTTTTTCCATATAAAATAAAAGTTTGAAAATCATACTATGACTGTGAAAGTATTTACTCGATATCGATTAGCTCTGGTCAGACACCGATTCCGAAAAGTCATACTCATGCAGGTAATGTTTTTTCAACAAAAAACATTCAATAGATTCTTTTGAACAAAAAAAAGAAAATTTTACTTTTTTCGAATTATTTTCTTTTTCATCTTTTAATTCAAAATTCCAAAATTGAATTTTTTTATCACTTCCACTAGTTAAAAATGATTGCTAAAAAAAAACAAAAATTATTCGATCAAAAAAAAAAAAAAAAAAAATTTTTCATAATCAAATAAATTTACTCGATCAGGTATCATACACATTGCCCAAACTGATTGATTTTCTTCATGTCCTTGTACTTTTTCAATAATTGAAGCTGAATCAAGTGAAGCTATTTGAAGTGAACCATTCTAAAATAAATTTATTTTTTCTTGTTATTCAAATACAAAACTTATATTTGTAAGATTATCTTACTTTACATTCAATTAAAACTGAATGATCACCAGGTAAAAACATACAACAAAGTGCATAATCACAAGGAATTGTTCGTATAGATTCACAACTATGTCTAAATAAAATTTTATTTTTATATAATAGAAATAAAAAACAAAAAAAAAAATTTAACTTATTCCAAATTTTAAGTGATTCTCCACTATCAGAAGCAATGAGCATATCATCTGAACTAAATGCTAAACATCGAACTTCTGTTCTATGAGCAGATTTTTCAATAGATGGTAATTTTTCAACAGTTTTATCTTGAATATTTAATGAATATATATCAATTTTATTATTTAATGTAAGTGTAATTATCTAAAATAAATTTGATTTATTTAAATCAATTTAATAAAAGAAAAATAAATTTTACTTTGCATGTAATATTTGTATCCATAAAAAGATCCATAGCTCGAATTTTTCCATCAAATTTTATCTCACATAATGATGTAAATATTAATGATATATCCCAATCAATTTTAATTTCTTCTTCACTAAGGAAAGAAAAAAAAAGTTTTGATTAGTTTTTGTTTTAATAATAATAAATGTCATAATTAAGAAATAGGAAATTATTTACTTTTTTTCATCACCATTTTCTTTTCATTTTCGTGCTTTTAATAAACGTTTTCGAAGACGTGTACGAACTTCATCAACAGTTAATATACGAAAAAATTCACCAAATGATTCAACACCCTCAAAAAAAGAATATAATTCAATAACAATTGTATTAATCATATTAAAAAATTGACATACATAACAAGCAAGTATACGACTTTCATTATCAACATTTAAACTTGATACTCGTTGTTTACTTTTACGAATAAGTGAACCAAGAGATTGAACATAAAGAGGTATCTTAAAAAAAACAAATAAAAAAGTAGAACGAATCAAAAAAAAAAAATCATTTTACACATTTTCTATAGAAGAGCAAAGCTATTGATGAGTTTGAGAATGAACACAAGACATGAAACTCTATCCCTCTAGATGATAGTCCAAAGATATGTCTTTCGCAATCTACGATGAAAACAGAAGATAAATGTGTAAGACTGTCCCAATTCTTGTTGCGAGGATTGGTGAGCAAAAACAAACAAAGATCAGTCGGTTTCACTGGGAGAAAAACGAAAATTTCTTAAGATTACGAGACACCTTAGTGCGCAACAAAGGTTTCATCCATATTGAAATGAATGTATTATTTTATTTCGATAGAGATGTTTAGAATGCAACATATACATACACAGAAGACTTAGAGACATACATTATGAACATTCTGATTTTTAAACTGTTTGCTTCTTTGTTGGATTAAGTAGAAGTATATGAAATACTCTGTTAGATGACTTTTGGTCAGATCTTGTGATATAGTCTGATCTAGTCCTGCTTTTATCTCTCCCTTTAACAAGTTGGTTGTGCCTTTCTGTCTGTTTGTTGGAGCGAGTATCAATGATACTCAGTCACATTGAATTCAGGTGAATAAAATGACCAATCTAATAATTCAATTTCGTTGATCATACACATTAGCTGTTTTAATGCAAGAATGTTGCTTGCATCAATCGTAGCTTAGAGATCTATATATCTATCAATGCACATCAACTGACTTAGCCACTGAACTCATTGAAGACATAGTGATTGGAAGTGCCAGTTAAATATTTCAATATATAATTGTCAATTAATTGTTATTGATCTCTGATGAGAGAAATTTTCTCATATAATCTATCAGGTTTCAGTCAATAGTCTTATTTCATGCAAGTGAGCAAAAATATAAGTAATTATTCGACGATCACTATGAAGTTAACACGCTACGATACTGAGTTGCTTTACGTGCTTTTGAATTTTTTTTCGAGCAGATAAGCATTATTTATATATGTCAGATGTTGCATATTTTACTCCTTCTAATTAGCTAATAAATCTGAACAGTAATAATGACAAAACACAAAAACTGAATATGAGTAATGAGTTTTCAGGTAATCCTATGTGTGATAACGGTGTCATGTTTTTCTGGCTTCTAATTATATGCAAAATGAACGAGTTCATATAGGGATAAAACTTTTGTCCCGCACTAATTGTTAAAGCTTTTGATAAGGCATTTCCTAATATTATCCTGTAGCTATTTTCAATTATTATTCTTCATTTGTTTTTGTTAATGATTGATTCGAAAAAGAATCATATTGGGTTTTTATATTCTTATTTCTGCTATTTAATTTCTTTATCAAAATAATAATATTTTAAAATAAATCATTATTATATATTTAAAATATACATATACATAATTCAACAAAAAAAAAATAATTGAATAGAATAAAAAAAAATGTTATATTAACCACCAGCAATACGACGAGCACCAACACCACGACCACGACCACGGCCACGACGAACCACAACAGCAACTTGACCACGACGAACAACAATAGTAGCTTGACCACGACCACGACGAACGACACCAGCAGCTTGACCACCACCATGACCGACAACAGCAGCTTGACCACCATTAACTAGAAATACAAAAAAAAAAAATATATATATATAAATGAAAACACATAATCTGAAGTGTTAAAAGAAATACTGAAGGTTACCTTGTTGTTGTTGTTGCGGCTGTAATTGTTGTTGCAATTGTTGCAATGGCTGCTGCAATTGTTGTTGCAATTGTTGCAATTGTTGTTGCAATTGTTGCAATTGCTGCTGCAATTGTTGTTGCAATTGTTGCAATTGCTGCTGCTGTTGATTCAGTTGTTGCAATTGCTGCTGCTGTTGATTCAGTTGTTGCAATAATTGAACTTGAAATGGTGATGCATGTGGAATTGATACATTCTAAACAACGGAAAACAAAAGATAGATGTAATATTAATCGAGAAGTACAAAAAAAATGTATGTATACTATTTTCATGCAGAGAAAAAACAAACCGTGCATTATAGAACTGCACGTACTTGTACATTACCAATATTAATTGGTTGTATAGGAAGCATATAATGACTTATAATCTAAAAGAATTTAATAAATGTTAAGCGACAGATGACTAGACTTAGAGATGCTATAATTATGACAATTCGAACCGATGGATTAGAAGGTGATAGAAGAATGTGAACTATGGCTCACATGTTTCTATGGTTTTAGCTTTAAACAATCGTCGAGTACAAGAGAAACACACTTAAAAAAGTCCTACTTTTATCATTTTTTCTTTCAACATTTTATCCTTCTGTTGTTTCTTGCACATTGAATTAATAATATCACGAATTAGAAAATGTTGTGATAACATATGTGAATAAAACATTATATAATAGAAGAGTGACAAAGATGGAGAGAGACGACGACGAAAAGAATGACAATATAATCATTCAATTCGCCAATCATTTCATAAACATTGTCTATATCGAAATGAAACTGCTAGATGACACTATAGGAGATACGTCATACAGTGAATATTCGTAAAACGAACGCATGTTATATATTCTTTGATATCTATTAGATCGTTAATATCTTCTGCTTTTCACTAGACTACTAACATAACACATTTTGATTATCAATTCTCGATGCTAAATAAACTATGTTTCTCGTGTAAGTTCTTTTTCCTTATTCTTCTGAATCTTTATCACTACCACAACTCTATGATTGATGAAAAAAAACAGAATTTAATCTCACTTGAAATTCATTCCATTTTTATTGCTTCATTATACAGATATATACTTACCAATACAATAGAAATGATCACCAATAGTCACAAGATCAGCTCCTTTTCTATCTATATGCATATATTCACCAATTGTTCATATATCAATCTTTTCATCATAACATTTTGTTAATGTTAAACAAGATGATCGATCAAATTCACCACATACATAAATATAAGAAAAGATTTACTTTGATGGACACAAACACTAGGTAGTTCTAAAAAGTAAAAAAAAAATCTATTTAGTTTTGAAAATAACTTTCTTAACCTCGTCGATAGATCAAGGAAGTGACTAGTTGTTAATTAATATTTTCTAAAACAATGAACAACATGACAACTAAGTTGGTTCTTGTGTTATACGATCTACTTTTGATATATCATCTTTATAATTAATACTATAAAAATGAACTTCAACTTGCGTTTGACGATTAGTTAGAAAATAAATAATTGAATTTTCTTCATTAATATCAATAATATGTTGTACAACTCAATCACTATGTGTTAATGGTTTAATTAATTGTTTAATATTTAAATTATATAATCTAAATGTATAAAACCAATACGTTTACTAATCCATATAAATAAAATTGATGTTTCTTCTTTTTTTAAAGTATAAAATAAATTATGTAAATTAATCCATGATTAACTTGTTTCTTCAATTAATAATTTGAATTGATTGTTTTTTATGTAAAAAAAAAAACATATTAATATAATTGTAATTTAGTTTATTGATAATTTTCTATTTTTAAAATAAGACTATTATCAAGAAAAACATTTACATGACTCATTTATTGATAAATATATTTAGAATATTGATATATAATAATTATTTTAAAAAAAGAAAAAATTTCTTTTTTTTTTTTTTTTTATTTTTTCAAATTATTTTTTTATTAGAAAATCCTATTAAACTTAATCTTTATCTCAAACCAATATTACCATTTATTTCTATTGAGTTTAATTCAAAAGATACACATTAACTTGTTAGTGTTTGTTATAATGGTCATGTTTGTAAGTTTAAATTAATTTATAGATTAAAAAATTTCTTTTTTTTGTTTTCAAATAGGTATATTTGATACAGGAAAAGGTAGTATAGATGTTGAACAATCAATAATTGAAAATAGTCATTGAAATTCAGCTTATTAAACAATTTAGTTATAATCAAAATTTGGTATTGAATTTTATAATGGTGATACTTATATTCGTTTAATCGATACATCATGTATATTTACATGTCTAGTTGGTTTTACTGGTATTTATTGTGATATAGCAAATTCCATGTTCAAATATGTCATATGTATCAAATACTATAGGTATGCTACTTTATTGAATGATAGTGCTATTTGTTTATGTCCAACTGGTATGATAGATAATCGTTGTGATCAAACAATACGTAGCTCATTTTGTTCATCATCATCATCATCATCATCATCATATTGTCGTAATAATGGTACTTGTATTGGAGCAATATATATGTATATGTCTGAATGTTAGGTATGAGTAGATTTTTATATAATTGAAATTTTCAAAAACGGATCGTTTTCATGAATTCTAAGATTAAATCTAACAATAGAGTTCTTTCAATTAAAACTCTCTATTCAAGTTTATATTTTTCTAATTAATAGAGTTCATTGTGCTGATAAAACTTCTAATATTGAAGGGTAGTGTGAGAAAAATTGATTCAAGGAAATTATACTAAGAAATAGATTTCATGTTCTTTATTATATTTTGAAAGTTTTAGAAAAAAAAACGGATGCTTTTGTTTTGAGAAAGGAGAGTTGCAAAACGGCTCTTGTTTTGAAAAAATCCTTTTTTTTAGTATTCAGTTTCTTGAGAACACATCGTTTCTTTTTGCTGAAAATTTCAATTTATTGTAAGAACCATGAGATCTATTTCTTAGTAAAATTTTTTGATTCAGTTATTCTCGTAATATCCTGCAATGGACTAGAAAAATCAGTAAAATGATCATAACTTATTGAGAAAGCGTTAATAGCACATACAACCTTTTAGAAGTTTTATCTACACAATGAACTTATCAATTAGTAAAATATGAACTCGAACAGAAATTCCATAACGATAACTTTCCTTTCTTTAGAACTATAAATCAAGTTCTTTCGTAAGTTAATATATGAATGAAAAATATAAATTATTATTTTTATTGTAAATTTTTCTTTATATAATCTTTTCTCGAGTCAGAAATGTTCATATTCAATTAACATTGATACTAACAACAATTATCTTTTTTTTATCGGCAAAATCTTCAATATATTTTTATTAATTGTTTTAGAAGATAACAACAAAAACAAAACAATGAAAAAAAAAACATCAAGCAAGTGCTGATGTTCCTTTAATAGTCAAAATAGCAGCTGATGATTTTCCTTTTTTTACGTTTTTTTGCTTCATTTGATGTTAATTTTTGTGTTGCATCAGCAAAAAGAATAACATCATTTTGTTCTTCAATTTGACGTCGAATTAATTTTAAACCAGCAAGATTAAATCCAACATTATTCTTAACAAAAACGAAAAAAAAAAAAAGAATCATTTTTAAAATTTTTATTTCTTCGTAAAAACTTACTCGTAATTTTTCTACTGTATCCATACAACGTGTTCGTAATTGTTCAACAATATTTAAATATTGATGAGATGATGTTAATACACCATGATGAATTCTATATTAAGAAAAAATAATAATAAATTTTTTTTTAAATTTGAATTTACTTGATCAAAAAAAAATATAGCACATTTAACACATAATTCTGGTGATTGAAATCGATCGAGATAATAAATAAGAAGTGATAAGAATTTTTGAACATAATCAAATGGTAGAAGAAGAAGTGTTACTTCCAAATCACTAAAAAAATTTCACTCAAAAAATAAAAAAAAATTACAAAGAACAAAAAAACAGATTTCATACCTTGCTGAAATTTTTCTTAATGATTCAAGTACAAAACGTTCAGCTGTATAACCACTTCCTAATGCTTGTAACATAATATGACGTGGTGGTGAAGGCATCTTAATTAGCAAAAGAAAAAAAATTATTTTCTCTTATAAATTAAAATAACTTATTTTACTTCTTTTCCTAATGCTTTTTGTGTTGCTTCATGTTCAGCAAGTTTTAATTTTTCTTCACGCCAAATATCAAGTGCTTCAATAATACTTTCTGCCTAAGAAAAAGAAATCGAATAAATAAAGACAAAATCAAAAAGAATAATTTGAATAAAACGTACACCTTTAAGACTTTCAATTGTTTTTAAAGTAGCTAAACCAACTTCTTTATTTGTTTCACCAGGTAATATAAATTCATCATTTTCCATTTCATTTTCAAATTGAGCTTCACGTTCCTAAGCAAAAAAAAACATACAATTGATTAATTATTTGCCGAAACGAAACATATGTATTTATACATTTTGAGTTTTTAAATAGTTTATAACTTACCAATGCGTTACAGAGTTCATCCATAAAAGTCTCAAATATTTTTCCAAACATTCGTAATCTTTATTCATGCCTTAGTAGTCGCTATCTATAGTTCTAATAATAAAACTTAGCTTTATACAGAATTTTTCGTAAGTAATAAGTATGTGAGATATGTCAACAAAATTCAGGAAATCTTTGTCTTATTATTGTGCGATCAGTTTTTTACAAGGCTTAAAAGTAATGAAGATATAATTGTTTTATTTAATTTTGAATCATACTCGAAACAACGCTACAATTGTTCTAAGATTCATAGATATTTTAAATGTAATGCTGAAGTATTTTAATTAAGTTTACTGTAGCGACTAACGAGGGAACCTCCTAAAGTGTAACCCTCAGATTGCAATGATTTTTTGTCCACAGATACTACATAGTGCCCTAGTAAGAACCCTAAAAGGATTTGGGTTCAGGGCCCTTTCTTCAAAAGTTATGAATATTTTAATTTCACTTCTATATAGGTCATAATATACAATATTAAAAAATCAGCAATTTTATGAAAATACGATAGAAAAACGAATTTTTTTTTGTGAGAGCGTTCTTAGATATTTGTTGTACTCATGAGAAATGTTAATCTTTTAGTTCTTCATATTATCGATCTATAGAATTTGGTTTTCTTGAAGAAAATGAACAGCGTATTGTCCTATTAAAAAGAAACTTCTTTTCCCTTAATATTGATCACACGTGCCTAAACTAATGTCGAATTTTTTTAAAAATAGCCTCCACCATTTTTTGAATAACTTTCGATCGCTTATAGCTATTGAGCTCGGATTTTCGCCATTAGAAAGAGCAAGTGAGGGGACATCTATCTATATAAAATTCATAAGGTTCGAATAAGTTTTTCATGAATATTTTTAAATGAACATCTTTTTTGTTGTCCATTTTTCATCAGTTTTCACAGCAGTCTACGCTTAAATTATACCAAATTCTAGCCCAAAACGACCTTTATTCCTGGTAAAATTTTCATATTTTAAAACTATAGCTTTGAAGCATTCGTTCAAATAAACTATAAAGAGATTTAAAAATTTTACCAGGAATAAAGCAGAGATGTTGGCGGGTTGACCCGTTTTCGTTCAACCCGCCCGACCCGTGGACCCGCCCGCGGGTTACGGGTCGGGTCAGACCTCTGACGGGTTACGGGTTTACGGGTAGTTGTTTTCTCGTTTTACGGGTTTCACGAGCCGGGTTATATTTTTCCGAGAACCCGCGGGTTCAACCCGCTTCAACCCGTTTACAGGTTTTGCATTTCAATGCTTTCAGCCTTCATTTCTTTTCTGCTATGTATGTTTACGGTCACTATTTACAAAGTGGCTTCGTTCATCCACCGATTTACCCGCTTTTACAGTTTCTTTCATTTTCCAACGCGTGAATTCTTTCTATTTTTTTTTTCTTTACATAGTCATTCCAGTGATTCATTCATTTGTTTTATAGCAGGCGCACATACAGTATCATGCAAGATTCTGGATATATTTTGTTTTTGACATTACTCTATGACTAAATGGCGTAGAGGTTTCATTGTTTTTTTTTTGGTTAGAAACAGCAGTGTCTAATGCAAATATTCACGAAAGAATTCGATTGAAATTAGTGTTGAAAGATCAGACATATTGTAAAACGAAAGTTTTTAGAAAATTCTCTCTCAAAGTTTTTGCACTTTGAGAAGATTTTATCGAGTTAGATCAATTACATAATCTTTCTTCGGATGCGATGTGTAAAAGTGAGGATCTAGCGCTATTGCTTTATAGAAAAAAAGAAACCCTACATGTTCTATAAGAATCATGATAAACGCTTTTATTGCCTTTTAGCATTGGTACTTTCCACTTCAGTTGATTACAGTGGTCAAAATGAAGTCTGGTGGGAGAGAAAAGTTGCCACAGGTTATAGCTTTTGTATCAAAAAGAAAGCTTATAAATTTCTCTGCCAAGCCGTATTACTTGAAACAAGATAGAAACTCTGTGAGAGGTATTAAGTCAAACATTTTTTGAAAATCCAATTTGATCAAATGAAATTTCAAAATGGTATTATCTTCTATAAATTCTCTTGTATGACAGATCAATTGTCTTAATACCGCATGAAAGCCATTAGAATAATGCACTGCTGTATAAATAATGTGTTTTGAAAGACCGACAGTGGGTAATGAAGCAGCTCAAAATATATTCTAATAAAAAAATTATCACCTAATTTTCGGAAGAATTTTCTGATGTTTTTGTGGATAAAATTTTCTAGCCTTTGAAAAAATTTCCATTCGAATTCTTAGATGTATTTTTGCAATAAATACTATGGTCATGATAACAAGAAAAACAAGGAAATCTACGATATTCTGTCACGGTTCTGTTTAAAAACATACAGAACTGTTGTATCATCTATCCTAAATTCGGTTTTCTCTCAAGTTTTGTTTATAGGATGTGAAGAAAAAGAAGGGCCGCATCTACGATACCTCAAACAGTATGTGCTATATTAACATTGTACATTTGATCAAATTTTGTTAATTTTCTTGGGCTTTAATTGAGATTTTGTAATGCTTATGAATATGCTCAAAAATAAATTAAATAATATTCTAATTATAAAAATATAAGTTTCACAGGTAGAAAACAAATGGGTCAGTGAAAAACTAATGAATTTGTCAATAAATATTACACGAATAAAGTTTTCATTAACCCGCGGGTTAGCCCGCGGGCAGCCCATGACGGGTTGAAGAATTACCAACCCGTCACGGGTTGGCACGGATCGAAAAAAAATCATTCAACCCGTGAAGCGGGCCGGGTTGGATCCCCAACGGGTCGGGTTGACGGGTCGGGTCAAAAAAAAGAAACGACCAACATCTCTGATTCTAACATATGAAAAATTCATCAGCATATTTATATGTCGAACATGTGGTTACAGATATTTGAATACTTTTGAGAACTCTTTTCGATAAGCAAACTAATTTTTTTCTCAACTTCAAGGGCGTTTTTTCAATACATTGTGCTGGATCTTGAATGATATTCTCAAATTCTATAGCTTTTTTTGTTATATATTTTAAATGTGTCGAGAAGATCTATAACTATTCAACTGATGTTTTCTGGAAAGATATATGTCTCTATGCATTGATTTCAGCAAAAATTTCCAAGAAACAGGTGTTTACCGTAGAAAGACACAATAATCCATCCTACTTGAAAATTAATTGTCTCGAAAAAGACATATTTATTTTCGTTGAAAATGTCACGACTATTTAATGAATATCAAATCCATCTATGGGTAACATTTCAGATCAGAATTTTTCATTTTGGTTTTGTTCTGAATGTGCCTAACTTCCAGTAAAAATTTTAGGAAAAATGGACAATAGCTCTTCGTCAGTTTTAGTTATTTTCATATCTTAATATACTCTATTTAATGAAGTATGAATGATCTAAAACAGAATTAGATACTTCGAGTACTGTTTTCGTAAGTTTAAGCTTGGAAATGAAAATGCTTTATTTTTCTAACAACACCATAGGAAATATAGTTCATTTGATATTTTCCTTGCGAATTATTTGATTGATATAGTCCTAGAATGAATGAATTATTATTCATCTTTCAGTAAAATACACAAAACTTCATTGCTATTGTATCATAATTGTTTATCGAAAAGTAATAAAACATTTACAAATCTGCTTATTTTCACAAAATTTCATCTCTCAGAATTACTTTATTATTTGATGAAATTTCATATTTCAAACAAGAATTTAAAATATATACATAACTATACTGCATAATGAATAATTATATTCATATTTTTTCTATCTTGAGATTATGTAAAAATATGACTAAACAAGTTTAGTAAACTCCTTTTCTTATATATATCTATCTTCTTATTTCAACAGACGTCCATGTTTAGTGATTAAATCTTTGTTTGAACGCATGTACTTGCAAAAGAAAGAAAAACAAATCAATACAGAATGAAAAAGAAAGAGAACGAAAATGCATAAGCCGAACTACAAACACACACACCATTTCATTTCCATCTTTTTTTTTTATCACTATTTAATCGTTCGTTTTCTTTCACGCGCGCTCCTTGCGCTGCTCCTATTTAATCACTATCATCATTTTATGGGATCTTAAACAATAACAAAAATGAGTGAACCACAATCACCTAACTCATCAGCATTGTCATTGAATTCAAATGGTTGGTTTCGACAACAACCATATTTTGCTGCTTTTTCTAATCCAGCATTATTGCAGAGTATCATGCATCATCAATCCGAACCAAATAATATTCAAGAAAATTTTAAGTAAAAAATATAAAATCTTATTTAATTTAATTATCTTTATTTCATTTAGTCAACGTATACTTCGTTTAGTTGGAACACAAGATCCGTTTAGATTATTTCTTGATTTAGAACAAATTAAAAAAAAATGGTTCTATGCACAAGATACACGACAAATTTCTAAACGAAAAAAATTTACACAATATGTTCTTGATACTCGTATGTTATTTATTATTAATATCAATATTTAAATTTATTTTATTGTTTTTTTTTCTTTTGTTTCTTGATAATAATAAAGATTTATTAGAAATAATTTATCCGAGATTACAAGGTAAAGTTGATTTGATTCGAATGATTATAAATGTTTATCGACAAATTCAACAAGAAGCATTTGGTATTGTATTAATTAATAAACAAAATAAAGTAAAAAGAACTTTATGTAAGATAGATATATATTGAAATCATATTTAATAGGTTTTTCTGGTACAAAATGAAAAATATTATTGGAGTTTTCCAAAAGGTAAATTGAAATTGAATCCTGATACATATACATTCGAAAGTCAATGGTCATGTGCATTGAGAGAAGTTAGTTTATATTTTAATAATTTATTTTTGTTTATTAATGATAATTATTTAAATATATATATATTTATTTATTAGTTTGCTGAAGAAGTAAATATTGATTTAAGTTCATTGTCTCCATCACAATATTGGGAAGCACGTTTAGCTGATAATCGAATGGTTGGATTATTTGTTATTGAAAATTTCGATGACACAAATGTTCATTTTGAATATGATAAACGAGAAATTATTGTAAGAATAATATTAATAATTATTTTCTTCTTGTTCTTTTTTTTTTTTTTAATAAATAAATATTCTATTCAAGGATATAATGTGGTTCAATTTACGTACAAATGATGATGAAATGCATACATTGAGACAATATTGGAAAGAACAACAACGATTAAGTGATCCGTATTATACAGCACTTCCATTTATTGAGTAAGTTTATCTATGATAAAAAACAAAAAGTTTAAATCAATAATGTAATCTTGTTTAGACATTTGATATTTGAATATTTACCGCATAAGGAAGAAAAAGAACTAAAACAATCATCATTATCGTTTTCTTCGATTGCAATGAACCAAGAAGAAGACAAAAGTATATCATCCTCCTTATCAAATAATTCAGTAATTGATAAACTTTTGGGTCGTTTACCTATTTGGCCATCATCACCATCTTCTTCATCTTCATCTTCATCGATTTCGCCTTCAAATAATGCTGGTTTGGAATTATTAAATTTACTTCAACAACAATCAAAGAAAGAATCATCGGAATTAGATCCTGTCGAAACAAGTCGAAATGCGATAAGTATAGTTGATCGATTGAATGAAGCTATTCGTCAAGCTAAGTGCAATAACAATAATAATAATTCTACTTCAACAAACAATGCCGATCATCGTATTGCGGTGCAAGCCTAGACAACAAAAAACAAAAAGGTATAATCTTTTTCTTAACTGTATGTTACATGTGCAATATGTTAACTGCATGTATTTCTTATTTTTTTTTCTTTCTGAAAATTCAATAATAACAAATTTATTTTTTTGTATTTTCTGTCATAATTCTCTATTTTTGGTAATTGTTTGTAAAAAAAAAAAAAAAACAAGAAAACGAATGAGCAAATATTTTGTTGCTTGTATGTATCTAAATAGGTTATGTTGTATAATTAGTATCAACAATTAGCTAGCCATGTATTTGTATTCATATTTTTGCTCTCTGTATCAACGTGATGCTCTTGTTCTATGTATTCTTTTTTTTATTTTCGATGATATGTAAACACATACTGTTTCAGAGTGATACAATAGTTTGTTTTTTTGTTGAGATTATATGTTAAACATAGAAGAAGAAAATATCATGACGAAAGGGAATAATAGTTATGAATCAAATAAATATTCATAGATAGTAGAATTTTGAAATTTCATATTCAATTTGTTATTTAACACTGAACATTAAAAACTGTCAATGAAAAATTTATCAATCGTAGAGAATATAAAATCTTGTTTCCTTTAATAAAAACGAAACAAGATGGTTTTTTTTTCTGATTAATCATCAATCGTAAAAAAAAAACAAATATAAGATCCATGGATAAGTCAATCTTAAATGATATCTTTTTCAAACTAATTATAACTAACATAGTTTCGTATTGATATATAAACAAAGAAGTAACCTACAAAAGACATTACATTTGTCAAAAATAAGATGATATTCACTTAAAACGAAAACTCTGTTGTCGTTCTATCGTACAAAAAGCCTCATACTGTTCGTTTTGTTTAGTATGTCATGATCGATCACAATAGGAATATGTCTCAAAGTATTTGAAATATGATTGATTTTGCTTTAAGAGATTTGTCATCGAATTTTCTTCAAACTTCTATGAATAGAAATGTATAGTGTTGGTGTACATGCTGAACGGTGAGCCACTTAGACATCAACTGTATCAAAATATATCCTTTTCGTAGTAGTATGTTCCAAAACTTCAGAGAACAATTATACCCAAGTGTACATTCCTATCCATGAATGTTAATTTAAAATAATAGAAATTAATTTTTTTTCTTGGCCATCTCTAGTGTCATTGTATGTACTCCGCACATATTGTTTTTATTGAGTCATTTTTCCTATATGAACGAATATTCAGTTTTAAAAGCCAAACTTAGTATTACATAGCTTGTTAAAGTATCTGCTAATTATTCTTTTAGATTTGGCAGCATTTTCTACCGAATAATCTTCAGAGAATCTCGATAGTTTTTGTCTTGTTTATTTTCTTTCAAAAATGAAATATCCTAAAAATCTCATCCAACGACAAAACAAATTCATTCGTAGGACTTCAATATACTATTTCTATTATAATACCTTTGTTGTAGCACAGTTTCAAGCTATTTACTTAGTACAACAAGAATTAACAATTTTATTTCTTTTCTTATGTTTGCAATTAAATTGAAAAAAATAAAGAAAGAACACTTTGTCAAAAGAAAAATTAGTTTTTAGCTGTTTTTTTCAAGTATAAATAAAAAAAAATTTTTATTAAAAAAAGATTTCGAAAGAAACGACATCGAATAAATGAAAGTTCAGTAAAACTTGATTTTCTCAAGCCATAAATCTTAAAATTCATAAAATATGATTTCTGATACAGATCTTTTATTTTTATTTGTTATTAATTTTATTATGAAGAAACAATTTTAGGTCGTAATGGACAACAGAGATTATAAAAAGCATCTTGCGACCAAAATGACCAAGGTTTCCAACCAACCCAACCCTAAATGAGAAAGAAAGTCAAGTTTTCATCAAAAAAATTTCTATATTCAAAAATAAGTCTTGACTAACTTTATTTTGTATAGTTTTAATATCATCTACTCCTGTATAATGTGGATCAAGAACAAGCAACATTGAATCACCTGTTGATTCATTAAAATCAACACCTAATATTGTATGAGCTAAAACACCTCCACCTATCATAATTGGAGTTCCTTCTTTATTAAAATGATTAACTATTTCACGTACATGTTCAATCATATCAGCTCCACGTTCAATTCGAATAATTTTAGATTCAATCTATAAATTAAAAACAAACAAAAAACACATATTGAAAGTTTTATTTAACTTTTTTTTTGAATTTACATTTAAATAATTTTGTAAAACAAATGATACTTCCATACTACCAATCCATTGACGAGAATTTAAAAATTTTTTTGGTTTATCTTCAATATCAATAAGAGTCTAAATATTTAAAAAAAAAAGCAACAAGAATACAAAAAATAAAATTTGTGCTTTTTTTGTAATTTCTACTTGTTGAATTTGTGCGTGTGTTGGTACTGGTTTTGTTGTATAACCTTGTAAAATAAACCAAGAACAAATAGTTTGTAATGATCGATAAGCACAACCCCACATATTATCATCAAAATTATCTTGCATATAATGATAATATGCATAATGACCATCAATTAATGTTTGTTGACCACCTTTGACTAGAACATTAATAATTCAATGATATTTCATTTATATGAAGAATATTTATACCTTTCGATGAAAGATTTTTATGTACATCGAAAAGTCGTCCGCTACTCATTAGAGATGATAATTGTCCATCACCAAAATCCATTGAAATAAATGGTTGATTTATTGATAATTGAGGATATTTTATTTGAAGTTCATTTCGAACTAATAGATATATATATATATGTATATTAAAAAAATAAAAACAAATAATATGTTAAGTATTTATACCTATATCATCGTCACCATCTAAAAATGTAACTATTTGATTAATTGGTTTAATATAATAATGTCGGAATGTCTTGTTGATTTTTTTCTGCAAATAAACAAAACATAATAATATGTATCTCATCCTTTTACTATCATCTTTTTTCATCAAATAGAAGAGAAAAAAAAATGTACCAAACTCGTTAGGTAGTGTCTATGCGTTTTATAGAATATAAACATAATTTTTTATTGGTGCATTTTTTATTTTATTTTTTTTAGAAAAGAGGTATGTCTTTAGCGTCAACCAATACACCAATTCGTATTAATTGATTATCTGTATCTACTGTTGAACAAACAACAATACCTTATGTTACTTATGATTTAGTTACACTTTGTACTAATCTAAAGTATCTTGTTTATCGAACTCAACGACATAATAAATATCATCATCATCATCGAGAACATAAAGCTCTTTTTTTTTTTTGAGAATAATGTTTTACCAAGAGTCGAATAAGCATCATCGACTGTTTCAGTTAGTAGTATTGGACTCTGTGGATCAAAGAAAACGACAGGTATTAACTAATCAAAACTCTATTTTCTACTTGATAACTAGACAACAAAATCGTACTATTGCTAATAAAATTATTTGGTGTCATACATATAATAAGTGTCGATGTCTATATTGATATAGCATTATACTAATTATTCTTTTTACTTATTATCATTTTAATTATACTCTTAGTTATACAAAAAAAGAAAAAGAAAAATAGAAATTTACTTTGATTTCATTTTTAGTACTATTTTCTAATATATCTAATTGTTGTGTAAGTTGTGCTTCAAGTTGATGACGTACAACATCTAATGTAGTTGATCGTTGAACAACAATAAGTAGATCAAGTTGAATAGAAAGATCTTAAGGAAAAAGAAAAGATTTTGTTTTGTTTTGTTTTTTTCTTAAAATCTTGGATTACCTTGTCCTTGTTGATTTATATTGCACTTTTCAATAACTGGTGTATAACATGATTCATCACCTGTTGTATATCTCAATAATTTTCCAGATATGATTTGCCATGGATAAATACGTCGATAAGCATCATTTTTTTGTTCTTTATCATTCTCATTTGTTTCAAGTAGATCATCAATCTTAACATCATCTAAAGAATATTTTCCATCATTTGTAAAAATACTATCACGTGTTAAATAAATATTTAATGGAAAATTTAAATAATAACCACTATCAATTAAAAGAACACGAAAAGTATTATATAATTCATCAATATCTTAAATATTAAAATAAAGATTTGATAAAGGAAAAATATCTTTTATAATTTCTTTCTCTTCTATACCCTGATTATAAAATAAATTCGTTCGACAATTAATTCGTATTAAAATTGATTCATCTTCTAATGTAGATGATATAATAACCATTATCTGGAAGGATAGTACTGGTTTAAAAAATGCAAATAAATAAATAATCATCATCAATATTATCTTTTATTTTAAAATCAAAAGAAAAAAGAACACAAGCAATACAATATTTTTTTTCCTGTGCAACAACTTATGATGATCGTATGCAATTTTTGTTTTTTCGATTTGACAGAAAAAATATTGTCGTCATTCTGCATATGATGTTAGTTTTTTTTTTTTTAAAGATTTTGTTTTTTTTTTTTTTTTGTTTAACTTAATGCTTGTCGAAGTACATAAGGAAGAAGACCACTATGAAGCATATAAAGACGTTCGATTTCTGTATCAACACGAGTAACCATTGAAAATGTTTTACCATTATCAAGCTACAGAAAAAAAAAACAACAAACAAAATAAAAGATTATTATTTCATTAAAAAATTCATACTTTAATAATAGCTAATTTTTCACTATCATATAAATTATATTCAATTGAATAAATTTCTTTTCCGGTGAGATTTAATGATGCACATGTATCACCATCTTTAAATTGTAATGGTAATATATTCATACCAATTAAATTTGAACGATGCTGTGGTTCAAAACTTTCAGCAAGTATAGCTCGAATACCCTAAAATAAAACATTATTTAATTTCAGTCATTTTTTGTTCTTTTAATTTTCTATATACAAGCATCCAAGGTCCTTTAGCAACCCAATCTCTTGTTGGTCCACAACCATAATTTTTTCCAGCAAGTACAATAAGTGGAGTTTTTGTTGTTCGATAATGTTCGGATACATCAAATATATCCATTTCTGTATT